TGGTGGCAAGAAGCAGGTATAGATCAAGGGAGGAGCAAGTTAGATCTATCCTGCTGGGTCAGGCACGTAGTAACCACCTCCTCTGGGTTCCATTGCTCAATATCACTGTTAGCTATAAACTTATCAGTGGACTTATCCACTGATAAGCAGCACAACCCAGTAATCCAATCACCTCCCAGAAACTCTATCTATGAGTATATGAAGATTTCTAGACATAAACCATAACACACAGCATTTTAAAAAACAAAAAATAAATAAATAAATAAAAATGCAACAAACCAGGGTCAATCCATAATAGCTGCAAAAAAAAAATACAAAACAAAACAAAAAGGTGTTGCTACATTATTACTTCATATTAGCAATGCTACTCATCAGTGACAATCAAAGCCTGTCCTTGAGCCATGAGATACTGAACTATAGGGACCAGTAGCATATAAAACTAGAGTTAATTCAGAGCTTCTTCAAATACATGTAGCAAAAAATAAAAGATGTGAAAAGAAAAAGTCACAGATTGGGTCAGACATTTCAGCAACTCTCATAAATTAATGATACAGACAAGATCATAAAATCAGTGAAGAGATTAAAGAACTGAACAATACCATGAACCAATTTAGCCTGATTAGCATAATAGAACATTACACTCAAGAGCACTAGAATTCACATTCTTTCAAGTACGTGCAGAATACTTTTATGTATGTATACCTTGCACTTGATAGGCAGGCCTTTATGCCACTGAGCTAAATCCCCAGTATTAATAAATTTTAAGGGATTCAAATAATATAAATTATGTTAACTAAATGTAAATTATGTTCACTACAACTCTAACATATTTATAAATCAGTAACAGAAAGATACTTGGAAATTTTCCAAACATTTTAGATTTCATACAATCCTAAGTAGACACGGGTTAAAGAAGAAGCTAAAAGGAAAGTTTAGAGCATATTTTAAGTGGATGCAAATAAAACAGAACATGTGTGCTGCAGCTAACGCAGAACTGAAAAGAAAATGTATACCACTAAAGGCTTATCTCAGAAAGGAAGAAATATCTGAAATTAATAACCTAAGCTTCCAATTTAAAAAGCTAAAAGAAAGCTGGGGGCAGTGTGCATGCCTGTAGCCCCAGAACTCTGGTTGCTTGTCTCTGTCACTTTGGGCATGTGGTGGCACAATCATTATGGTGGGAGCATGCTGCAGAGGAAGACTGTTCTCCGAGAAGGGCTGAAATTCCAGCATCTCTTTCAAGAGCACGTCTGAATAACCATCGTCTCTTTCTAGCAGGTCCTGTGTGTTGAAGATTCCACTACTTCCAGAAACAACACACTGGTGTTGGTGACCAAATCTTTTGTGTATGGACCACTGGAAGGCCTTTAGAATCCAAACCCTAAAAATCACAATATTAGCTGTTTCTTCATTTTATTTTCATTTTCTAAGTGTCTGATAATAAATATGCATTTCCTTTGAAGTAAGAAAGAAAACCACAAAAGCTACAATTTTTTAAAAAGACGCATTTCCTTTTAGGAGACTTACCATCTAATTAGCAAAAGAGACATGTGAATAACATAACAGATGGTACAATGAACTAAACACTCTTGGGAAGGAGGGAGGATTGTTTGGATTAGCAGCCAATATCCAAACCATGACCAGATCCTCCTGTCTGAAACCATGAACCCACATTCTTCCCTCATGATGATTTCCCCCACTCCAACTCTCACCCTAGTGCACCACACAAGAATACTGATATCTGAACTTCAGTGAACTAACTTCCCTCCTGCAATAAGTCAAGCATGTACCCGCTGCTATGTCCTTGAATTGCAAGTTGAGGAAAACTGCTAGAGGTCCCTTGGTCCATGACAAAAGATGAACTACTGGGGAAAAGAATCTCTGAAATGCTTTATATCGCCAGGTTCTGGCATGTAGCAGGTGCTTAAAATTTTACTACTTATTCTTGGACATATTAAGAATAAAAGAATGGGATCATAACAATTTTGGTAACCTGGTTATTTTGGGGGTATTCATAGATTAAACCTATTTTCAAGGTTCCATCAAACTTTCTTATAGTCCTGAGTAAGGTTGAAATATCCAAGCAATACAATGTTTGGTCCAAATTCTCTAACTCTTTCTCAATACTCCAGGTTCACTAGAATTCCAAACACATTCCTCATTTCTCAGTGAGTATTCATCAAAACTGAATCCCTGTTGCACTCCACCAAAATGCCAGAACCATCTCGTGTTTCTTGTACAAAGACTCTAAAGGGTTGGATGTAATGGAATGATAGCAGAAATCTCAATTTACCCTCAAACAAACAAAAAGTGAAAAAAAAATCAAGTACGGATATAGAATCTATAAAATAATGAATCAAGCCTTGAATCCTAATTTGTGGATTTTTCTAGTTTATAGGAAAATAAACAGTGTCTTAGGAATGAGATTTTTGAGTTAAAATCTGCATTTATAATTAATTAATGAAGGCAGGCCACTTGACCTGTTTGGGCTTCAATTTCTATCTTTCTAGTCTAGCAGAACTGGTTTCTTTTATTTGATCACTAAGTTTCTTTCAACTCTACTGTTCTGTGATTTTATAGTTCCTTACAAACGCTCAGCACTCTATCCTTTGGCAAGATGCCTTTCCTGTCTCTGCCTTGTCTCATCGCCTGTCAGTGAACAGAACAATAAATAATTGGTTTGTTGCAAGAAAAGTGTGTGTTGGGTCAAGCTGACATGTCTGCTTTTTTGCCCTCTGGAGAGGACAGACGCGGCTTTGATCTTGTTAGAATGAGTTCCACATTTCAGCCTAGAGACCTCTCAATTCAGAAGGGCCTCACTGCCAAATATATGAAACAATCATTTAGAATTAAAGAAACATTCCAGACATCTTTCAAACTGCCAAAGTTGTTTCATTTATAAAAGAAAAATGAAGTATAATCCCACAGATTAAATTCCTGACTCTGAAAACAAAGAAAACGGGGATGGAACTGGAACCTGTTCATCCTATACTAGCTTTTTTTGATAAGAGGAAAGAAGCAAGTTAAATGAGAATAGCCAGGCTACATATTAATATGGCCCAGCATGTTAGTGCATGTCTGTACTCAGTACTCTGGGAGGCTTAAGCAGACGGATTACAGGTTCATGTCTAGCCTGGGTAATTTAGTAACTTCACAAGACCCTGTCTCAATTGAAAATACCAAAGGGCAGTGGGTGTAGCTCATTGCTAATGCCTTTGGCTCAATACTCAGTACTAAAACAAAAATAAAAATAAAAATCTGTTTATACCTGGAAGATACATGTGAGTAAAACACTTGCACAGCACTCAGCATTGTGCCGTCTGTCTGGACTTCTCCTCTGTGACGCCCCTCTGCCACGCCACCCTGCTTTGGAACCAGCTGACCTCTATAAACTGTGAGCTGAAATAAAACTTTCCTCCTTTAATTTTGGGTACCAAGTATTCTGTCTCAGCAATAAGAAAAGCAACTGAGACAACATCCAAAGACCTGTCCTCCATATTCACCCAGTCCTTATATTGTAAAGTATTTTCTGTGGTGTGTTCTATGAAACTAATTCTGACAAAAGCAATACATACATTAGTAATTTTGGGATATTGTGTATAGTCTCATCTCCTGAAGTTATTTAGAATATCAAAGACTGTGAATTTATGCACACAATGAATGATAGTTTTATTACTAGTCATTTCCATGGTTTCAGTATGGTTGGCATTCCAAGCGTTCATGTTCTCGAGGCTTGATCTCCAGTGTAGTGGAATTAAGACATGGAAGAACCTTTAAGAGATGGGAGAAATATAGCAACTATGGGGGAATTTTCTTCTGTCTTGTTTTTAAAATTCAATATTGTTCTCATTGTTTTGTTTTGTTTTGTTCCATTTTATTGTCTTGTTTTATTTCTTTTAAACTTAAAAAAACAAAATTAGGGGAAATGAAGTCATAACACTTAACCTTTAGCAGATATTAATGTGGTTGTTTTGGGTCTTTGTTAGTTCTAAGAAGAGCAAGTCTGGCTGGTGACTCTCTGTCTTCCTGTCTCACTGTGTGATCTCTCATTCTCATTCATTCTGTTACCCTAATGCCATCTACCACATTGTGATGCAAGCAAAGAGCTCCTCATCAGATAAATGAATGGCACTTCTTGACCTTGAACTTTCCACCCTCAGAAGTTTGAACTAAATAAACCTGTTTTCTTTATAAGTTACCAGCTTCAGTTATTTTGTTATCGCAACAGGAAACGAATATGTGCAAAAAAAGCAAAGACTATTGGGTTTGAAGTCTCCATGTATATTACTTATATTTATTCCTTGATTCTGACCTCCTCTGAATTCTTTATCAATACCATGGTTGTAAATTGGAATTCACATCTCCTGCTCTGAACTGCAATAACTCTTTATTTGTCTCAACCTTTTAGAACTCTTTTTATATTATATTACACAGAGATGTTTTATCTTCCCTGGTTGCCTGTAAACTATTAAAGAATAGAATATTATTTCCCAATCACTAAATATCACAGAAGACCTGTAACACTGGAACAACCTATACACATTTGACCAATTGATGGATAGATGGATGGATGGAATGGATCAGCCAATCTAGGAACTGACAGACATGGAAAATAGCAATGTAATCTGAAGTCATTTTTAAAACTCCTACACTATACTAAAGTTGGGAAAATAAAATTATTATCAATAAATATATACCTTTAATATGTCTCTCTTTGCCTTCTCTCTTAGGTCATTAATCTGAGAAAAAGAATATCATTGCACTTTCATCTTCATGTCTGGAAATTTGCTTCAGTTACTCATGAAACATATTTATTATAATTAAAACATCTTTCAGGAAAACATGTCAATTTTAGAAAATTCAATATAGTGGGAATGTATTACCATTCATGAATAACATCTTGTAGTATTGATGTTGAAAATTCTTGGTTAGAATGGTGGTTCTAGTTGATTAAACCTGCTAATTACTGTAGGTGACAAATAAGAACTACATATAAATCATAGATTTTTGAAGGATTTTAATTTTATAAATGTACCTGACAATAATGCTAGGCTGCTGGAAGGAATCTCATTAGCTTTTGGAGGATATGAGAAGCAAGTGTTGTTCTTCAGAAAACAAACACTAATGAGGCATAATCTCTATCCTCAGTAGGATTCCCAAATATGAGTCCTTAACAGACTTGGCACTATTAACATTTGGGAACATGTAATTCTTTGTTGTCAGGTCACTGCCACATATGTCTTCAGGAGGAAGAAATAGCCTCAGTTGAGAACTTCTTGTGCAGGAAGAGATCCTAAAAGTTATACAGAGTTTCAAAGTCATCTTTTGATCCCCAGTTCTTATTTTGTGATTATATGTTGGAAATATAGAAAACCCTAAGCTAATTTTCAACAGCGTCTAAAACATAGCAAAATAGCTAGGCATAGTGGCAAACTGCTGTAATCCTAGTATGTGGAAGCTTGAGGAAGGAGGATTGCTGTGAGTCAGAGGCCACCGTGGGTTGTACAGTCCAAGGCCAACTTAAACCAGATAGAGGAACTCTGTCTCAAAGAAAAAACAAAAATTAAAACAAAAAAATCACCCTATATTTAATATTAAATTTATTACTTGTAAATAAACACAAGAAAATTAAAGTATTTGTATTTTTGCATGTTTGAATCTGTCACTAAGAATTCTTGTATTTGGCTATAAAGGCTAACAACTATCTTACCTTAGAAACTGGTGGTGAGAACAGCAGTAATTGCTTCTTTACAACCAGCTGCCACCTAGGAATGTATGAGATAGAAATGTCAGATATGGTGTTAAGTGAAATTTAAATTGAATGAAGCAGCAGATGTAATTGTGTTAAATTAAAAGTATTACAAATGCTCTATCTACTCCTCCATGCTTGAAATATGACAAAAGCTAAGACCGAGAAAAATCAGGAAGGCAATAATGAGGTAGGAGGTAGCTAAGGAAATGGTTTAAGAAAGAAGACAGGGCAACCTTAGAGGCTGCTTTTCTGTCACATAAAAATTCTACGAACAGAAATAATCATGGTATTTCAAAACTGAAACTTTTATCATAACTCTTGTTTTAGTCTTTGACTTGAATATAGAAATGGACCTGATTCCTCTTATTTTTATATTTATTTTTCTTAAATGTTTTGAGACTGAGTCTCACTATGTAGTTCACTCTGGTTTTGAATTTCCTATGCCCCAGCTAGACTCAAAGTCACAATCTTCCTGCCTCCTAAGTGCTGAGATTATAGGGGTACATTAGTACACTCAACTCTGATTCTTATCTTATGCACACTAAATTTTTCCTCTGTATAAGGAAATCAGTCTGGTATCATTGAAGATATTATATAAATAAATCATAAGAAAAGTGAATCTGATTATATGGCTCAAGAAATTGAATCAGTCTAGTGTCAAAACAAACAAAAAGGAGAATAAGTTTAAATACACACATTATACCCAAACCTGAAATCTGTTAACAACTTTCCAGTAAAGAGCAGAGAAAATGATATACAAACTCAATGATATTGTCAGCCTATCATAAAGACTTCCTGGAGAGAGAGAGAGAGAGAGAGAGAGAGAGAGAGAGAGAGAGAGAGAGAGAGAGAGAGAGAGATTATTCTGATCTGAAATGGTGAAGAGAGGGGTGAATTCTCAATGGACAATGGAAAAGCAGCTAAACTGACATCTAATATAACTAAAGTAAAATAAATTCACAGAAGTATCTACAATCAGTTCAAATATAGCAATTACTACTGTTCTCACCACCAGTTTCTAAGGAAAGATAGTTGTTAGCCTTTATAGCCAAATTTCATCTATATGAGAACACTTGGAGAGAAAATTAGTAAGTACACAGAAACAGCATAGTGTCTGTTTAAAATGAGTCCCAACCCTCTTATCTGCTGTCTGAATCCAATGATGAGAGGTTGCAGGCTGAAGGCCAAGACAATGCCTTCAAAGGGATTCTGTGGAACAAAGACACCAGTCAGTCAGTGCATGGACATTTTGGGTGACAAAGTACGGTACAAAGCAAAGAAGAGAGATCTTCTCCACATCTCTGTGTGAAGCACTCAGAGAAGAGCATGAGGGGCTGTATTTTGGTGGGTTACTGGTATCCTTATTTTTAGTTTTTGAGACCTCAATACTGTGCAGCTCTCTGTGCCAGTGTAGATCCTAGATGATGAGGATCGAGCAGTGAAAAAGAAGTAAGGGAAGAAAAAAACAGTAACAGAACTGAAGTGGCACATGGAAATATATTTATGAAGTCTTTTAGGACATCATAGAGACTCTTATAATGGGGTGAAATGGAGTTGGAGGGCACAAATGGAGCTGTGCAGATGAGGCTATAAACTAGTCACATTTTGGTTGGTCTCTCTCTCTCTCTCTCTCTCTCTCTCTCTCTCTCTCTCTCTCTAATGTGTACCAGTGCATACATTAATGGATAAAGCTAGATGGAAATATACTAAAATGGTAAAAGATTATTTGTGGGCAGTAGGATTATGGATGATATTTTATATAATTTAATAGAGTATTATTTTCCAAATGTTCTGGAATTAAATATATTTCTAAACATAAAAACTTTGAGTGGGGTCGGGGAAAAGAAGATTATATTACTGTATTATTATGTTTCCTTGGATAATAAGGTTCCCTAGGGAAAATACTGGCTTTAGAAAAATATTTGATGATCAACAGATCAGATCAACAGAGTAAAATGAAGTGGTTTCTAAAAACTAACATAAATAGGAGAATTAACAAATGTCTCTGATATTGGCTTGTAGTTAAATGTTTAATCTTATAGATTTTATTCTTTCCAGCCAAGTGAATTTTACCAGAAATGAGAAAGAAGCGCATAATTATGTTTTCTGGATATAATCATAAAACTAAACTTTGTAGTTTCCTAAAATATCAATTCTATATCAATAATTATATAATTATATAACTCTCTAGACAATTCATGAATTCAAACTTCACATTTTGCTCTGGCATTTCTACAAAGAAATGAAATGGTTTACAAGTCTAGCCTATTGTATATTCTGTTGTCATAAATGTGTGCTTTCTAGTTCTTTTGTAAGGTGTTCCTCTTGAAATATCTAGTTTTCAAAAGTTTAATGTTACACCCTTATGCAAACATATACCTTATCATCCATGTATACATATATATATATATATATACATATATATATATATATATATATATATATATATAGAGAGAGAGAGAGAGAGAGAGAATGAGAGAGAGAGAAGAGAATCACAATTCAATTCAATATCTGATACAGTTGGTACTCTTTTGTTAGAAAAATACAAGCAATAGGAAATTTAATCTAGTTTCCTTCCCCTTTAGATCTAACTGCAATAAAAAGGGTTAATTTTCCTAAAAGCAATGAAATAAAACAATATTCCAGTGCAGGTAACATGTGTACACCAGGGTTAGAGAAATGAATAAGGTATGGAGCTATTTTACTGCAGAGGCCTTGCTGGGTAGAATAGAAAAATGAGGGATTATCATGGAGATGTCAGAATATAAAGATTCCTGGGAACTAGAGACTCTTAAGGAGAGATGCACTGTCAGGTGTCTATTACACTGTTGTCTTCAGTGGATCACTATTTACTGTTTGACAATGATAATGTCAGTAAATAAACACTTGCATCATTACCTCTAGAAAACAAATTACAAAGGCTGATTTGGTTGGGTAAGAATTTCAACAGAGTTAAACCAAGAAGACCCTCAGAGATCTGTCAATGTTGAGTGTCCAAAAATATTCATGACCTCAATCCAAAATCCAGGGCAAGTTCACCAAGCTTCAGGAGCCAGGATGCATCTATCACGAAGATGTCTCACATGACAGCCATAAATGATGACATACATGGGTAGAGGGTTCTGTCCTCTTGGCAGCCCTTCGAGACCTGACTGTTTAAACAGCTAATGCTTGAACTGAAGAAGCTTACACTGCTTAGATCAGGTGCATTGGGAATGTTGCATTTACAGCCATTCCTTGAGGTCAATGGTCCCTTTAAGAGTCCCTCTAATAAGATTTCCTAGTAAATCAGAGAGAAGAGTTTTGAAAGACATCACAGATCACAGAAAAACTAAACCTTGAAGACTAGGGCAACCCTCCAGTCAATACTGTCCATTTTTCCTCTTCAATCTCTGGGACTCAGACAGAGCCAGATGTAAGACAAAGTGATGGAGGGTTCTCTTCTCCCAGAGGGAGAAAAACCTAGTAGAGTGAACGATTCAGCCTGAATAATAATCCCATAATCTATCGTAAACACACCCCCCACACACACACACATTTCCACATTACCAAGAGCATACTGCTGAAGCTCCAAACCCTGCAGAGATTGTCAAGCCAGACAGAACATGGAATATTTATACTGAATGGTAGTTCACTATCTCCATGGCATTTGCCAAGGCTTTGTCATTGTTTTCATTTCTAAAATACTGCTTTTTTGTTTTTACTTCTTGGAAAGAGATGGTGAACAGAAAAATATATGTTTGGGTTTTTATCACTTAAAAAGAGAAACTCAGTCAGGTGTGGTGCTGTATACTTGCAATCCCAGCACTTGGAAGGCTGAAGCAGAACAATTATGCGTTCAGGCCAGTAAGGCTACATAGTTCAAGAACAACATGGTGCAAATCACCTAGCAAGGTAGTGACAGAGATTTTATTATCCCCCTTGACTTCCTATTTCTGCAGTCTGCAAGCAGCATGTTTAGTTTGGGGTCTCCTAATACATTTCTTTTTGGCAACAGATTGTCTTTCAATTCAAATCAAACTTATCAAAACAGAGCATTATCATTCAGGACTTTGAAAGTGATTAAAAGTTGTGCATGACTTGGTTCATTCCAAGAATTCACCATACTACTTCTGGTTTTAAAAATTACCTCAGTTGTGCTCACTCTGCCTATCTCTATCTGGGCTCAGTTTTCTTTGAAGTTAGTGGGAACAGAAAACATCCCCGGAGGGGTTATGGGCCTCACTGGAGCCTTGACCTCTGAATGCAAGCTGAGCAAAGGACTCAGAGTCACCCAAGTTATCACAACATGGGCAGGTTAAAAACAGAGGCATTCAGACAAACTGTCAGTTAAAAATTAAAGTTTTTCAGAGGAGCAATACAACTGTAAAAGCATTTCTTCTCCATAATACTCCAGCTCACTTTCTGATAACATATAAAAAGACACTTTTGCAAAATTAAGATGTGTAGCTAGGCTCTGCTTGCTTCTATCACTTTTATTTTAAAATTTAAAAAAATAGAATGTGAACCAGAACTCTAGAAAGGAGGGCCTCCAAAGATGAATTTCTAAATTACACTAAATGTCATATAATAAAGGAACTTAAACTCAAAATTATGCTTTTGGTTTTGGTGTTGATGATAATAAAAACTAAATGTGAACAATTGGAGATTTTCACTATTGATTGTTTTAATTCTTTAACATTTTATTCAACTTCAAATGTATTAATTTCTTTTCTTAAGGTCTCTGGAACTGAGACCAATTCTAAGATTTGTTTCAAAATTTTAAGCCAAGTTACAAAAGCCTGATGAACAAAGTTTGTAATGGGAATGCTTAACCACCTTAACACAACAATACAATCAGTGCCACTATCATGTAATCAAAATGTGTGGAAGCTTTTTCGCAGGAATAGACCTGAGAATATGAAATTCCCACATTGAAATAAAGCACATTTTCTGGTTACTTACTGGCTCTAACATTGTTAACAACCTTGCAAAGGTTGACTTGAAGGAATATAGAAATTCAATCAGTGCACACACAAGCCATCTGGACACATGTTGTAGTGAACTCATCTTGCTCCTTATCGAACCAGTGCGGGTCTTCCTGCAACAAGCATAGTTCATTTTTTAGGGGAGAAAAACATTAATACTGGCCACATAAACTAGAACAAAAGTAGAACATTTCAATTTTTTCCTTCAGACATAGATACAGAATAAAACTGAAAATAGCTTAAGGAAGACACTTTGCATAGGTAGAGGCCTCCCTTCCTGTTGAAACTAAGCAGATAAAACAAAATAATGAAAAGGGAGAAGAGAGAGAATTAGAGTCACAAAACTCCACCCGCATGAGAGCCATAGTTTTATACGCAGTTCTAAACAAAGACTGGGCACACTGCTGTTTGACTCAGAATGTTCTTTTTTTTCCTCATACTTAATAAAACATCTCTGATCATTTCTTATTTGTTGGAAAGTACTTCCACTAATACAGCTGCTTTACTGTCCACGAAAAAGTTAAACCTAGGGACTTCTCTTTTGTTTTTCTATTTCTTTAGTTTTAAATTCTGTTTTCTCAACTGATTTCCACAACCAGAGATTTTCTAACTGTCATCATCTTGATTGCTCTAATTACATAATGCTTTTCATTTTCTACAACTCTTTAAAAGATCTGGTAACACCTATGGTACAATAATGGTATTTTCAGATTACTAAAGCAACATAACTAGTATTAACACCCGTTGTTTATATTATATGATCCATTCTTAGCCCCATTCTGAAAAGGGAATTTATTATAAATTCTCACTTGTAAGTATTATAAGTATTATGTAAATGATTCTCCCATAAAAGTAAAATGTGCCACTTTTAGATGTCAAAACTTCCTTTTGATGATTTTGTATAAAATCCTTCTTTAAAAATTTTGCATGTCATAAATGGTAGGCAATGTAATTTAACCTTTTACTAGGGGCTGGGGATTTAGCTCAGCGGCATAAGCACCTGCATTGCAAGCAAGCGGTTGTGAGTTCAATCCTGGTACTGATAAAAAAAAAAAAATTAACCTTTTACTGAAGACCTAAGATTATAATTACAAACATGTTACTTTATAATGATATGATATGGTTTTGTTTCTTTGAGCCTCAGCAATTTCTCCCTTACTCTTAGGCTATCTGCTGTTGCTTTTCCTTCTCCTAGTCCTGTTTCTGTCTGAACTGCTCTCCCCCATCGCCACTGAACTATTGTGAACATTTATA